GGGGGTTGAAGGGTTTTAAATTTTTAGCGGGAATGAAAAACGATTTGGCATCACTTCTAATGTAAGCGTTTTTATATTATTATTATTTTATATTTTTCACAAATTTTCAACACCAGTTCTTGCAGATCTGAATCGGTCAATTCGGCGGAAGCTGCTTCGTCAGAGGTCTGTACAGTATCCTGCACAGCAACCTGTGAGACGGATTCGAACAGTGAGCCAACCGATTGTGGAACGGATTCGAACAATAAGCGAAAACATTCCTATTTAGGATCTTTGAAAACCTGGGCATCGTCTCAAAGTCTGTAATAATCTCTCATCAAAATCTTCTGAACTGATGGTGCGGATCCGCGATTTTCTAAGATGCATCACGTCCGGAAAGAAGCTATGGCACTGCAAGAAAAGCCCAGACCTGGAAAAACAACTTTCGCGAACGATCAAATTCTGAATGTACAACCTTTTAAGATGACAAATTACACCAAGAATTCAATATTACCCAGACGGCCCGCATAGGAATCCGATATTTTGTACTAAATTAGAGCTCAAAAAAAATGATATCAAAAAAACGGAGTATGAATCCAACAAATCCTGACTTCTTGTTAGTGTCAGAGGTGGACAGGTCAGTCACTGTAAAAGGAAATTTTTGAAAATGACAACTTTTATCAAAGATTCACTTTGAATCGCAGCTCAAATCATTGTTCTGCAACTACGTAGAAGACAATCTTCCCAGTTGCTTAGACAAGTGCTGCATCATCTAGTGGTCAATTTACTGTGATCCTGCCGATCGTTCGTCTCTTATGTTCTCATAGCAGAGTTGTCGTCAAAACTTATGAAAAGGTGACAAAAAAAGCCATCATATTCTCAAGTATTGCTTCGAAGAGGCAGAGAAGAAAAGAAAGATGCATGCTACCAAAAAACAGACACACTTTAGAAATGCTCTAAGACGAATTGGGAGCTAGGGGTCGGTGGAGCAGTGGCATAGCGCTTGAATGTAGAGACAACGGTTCGTTTCCCTCCCGATCCATACTCATTTGCAGAAAAGAGATCTGTTCGCAACAGAAGCAGTTGACAAGAGTTTAGCTGTTTCGGAATTTCATCGAGCCGTGTTGAATTCCACCTCGTTTTCAATGTTGACTTTTGAAGACAGTTCATCTAATTTTTCAAGACTGTATATTGCATTTTTGGCTGCATTGGTGCTTTATGTAGTAGGCTTTTGAAAAAATCTTGAAAAATAAAAAAAGAAATAAAAATCTTTAATTTTCTCTTTTTTTCCACAACTGTTGTCAACGCTGCAAGCAATAGAGGATGCATTTCCTCAGTTCACTACCTTTTAACTTGTTACTTTATTCAACT